TCTTCAAATTAAAATTTACTGAGAATATGAGGCTCACAGCCTTCCTTTGTAGGCTACAGGCAAAAATGTCATTAAAGGAGTGGTTCTGATCCCTCTATAAACTGTGACTCTAAGCTTTAGCAGGAGTTCTAATGAACTCTTTAAACTATCATTAGTCTTGTAACGCATTCAACGCGTAGTTATGGATCTTTAGGTCTTAATTGTTTTTATTAAGTTAATCAATTATTTGAAGTTTTTTGAATAACTTTTTCCATAAATAGTTGATTGAATTTTCATTTTAGCAATTTTGAATATGTAAAACATTATGACATGCAAACATATCAGCTTGAATTTTAAAAAAAGGGCTGAAAAAATTAATGAATAGCAAGATTAATGACAGAGTTTTTTTCAAAAGCACTGAAATGAAAAAATTAATTTAGGTAGTTTTCCAACAACAAATTTTCCAACGTTACATTTTATTGAAGGGAAAAAGAACAACTTTTTCTCTCGTCTGCTCTAAAATGCATGCATTTTTGTAGTTTCATTAGGTCATAGAAATAAATTTATTGCTACTTTTGTGCGGTTCTTGAAACAGCTCATCATCCAGAAGCTACAATCGAATATTTCGTTAACATGCCAATGAGCATGCAAGATTAGTCCTTTTTTTTCTTGGCTATTTAATCGAATATTCGCTTTTTTATCTCATTCAAAAAAAATATTGAAATTGCAATCAAAACAATCAGCATTAATCGATCTTTTATTTTTGGGCTTTAACCCCAGCTTTTGAATGATTTTAAATTTTTAAACTTTTACATTTCCAAAGCATAAACATCAGAATGTTTTTACAACATCCACTTTGTCTTATTGGCAGTTCAATGAATGACAAAATTTATAAAGTTGGATAGAGTGAAACCTTTATATACTCTTAACTGACAAGAAATGGTTGCGGGAGATCATTAATTCGTGAATTAAATAATAGAACACAAAAGAAAACTCTTTGTTGATGTTTTATGCTAAGATTCTCACCCTAATGCTATTTTCTTCAAAAACATGAAGCTATAACAATTCTAAGTTTTTGAAACTTTCTCGATAAACTAAAAAGAATCTTCGAAATTGAAGCTTTTAAACTTAAGAAAACTTAAAATAAGGATAATGTAGGAAGTTTTGTATATACAAGAATGCTGTGTATTTTGATCGTAAAATTTAAATTCTTAAAGAATAAAAAATAAGTTTTGGAAGAAAAATGTGTAGGAAGAACCAGAAATAAGCGAGGGTATTTGGCGCCCCTGATAATTCTCGAACTACAAATAAAATTGTTATGATTTTATACTTTTTCATACCCACATTCATTATTAGATGATTTTTTAACGATTTATAAAACATTATAGGTTTTCAACATAGTACCACACAACAATTTAGATCTAAAATAATATGAAATTAGATTTTGATACGGTCTCTAAAATCCGATACTTTGAAGTAAAAATTGCGAGTTTTACTCAACAAAATTGAATATAAACATTCTCACCCAATTTATTCATTGCTTTCTTATTATTTATGTTCTTTATTCTTCGTCTTTTCCATTTTCTGATTCTCTTTTTCAATCTCCTATGGAGCACTTTTATTTATCTTGTTTGTATGTGCTGTCATTCACAAAGCAATGCCAAAAAATTGTTTGTAGAAAAAATCACATTTGTGTAGAGATAGAAATAAAGGCAAATACGTATTTTGATGTCTGTTTGTTGCAAAAAAAAGAGAGCAATCCTATAGAGAACTTTTAAGAGCAAATGGCTGATGATCAAAGGAATGAATGTCTATGAATTCGAAATCAAATTCGCTTAGTAATATCATAGTCATCTTTATCGACAATATATATGTTTGCTATTCACCTCTGTAGGAATTTTCTTTGCTTTTTTGGAAGATAAAAAAATATTTGGTTCGTATTATGCTATCTAATGAAAATGTCAGTTCTATATAAATAATAATAAGCTTCCTTACATTTTATCTTCTTATTAAGCTACGTAGCAATAGGAAGCAAACCTATACAGACAAAAGGATTTTCTTCATCATAGGATGGATGAAGATAGAACACAAAAAAAAACGAAGGAAATGAAGAAAGAATCTATCGTGGGAATAGCGACATGTGTCTTTTATATACACAAAAAAAATCCTACTATTCTCAAAAGTATACAATACAATATAAAGTATGTATATTAAATGAAAGGAAGCTTTTCTTTATTCACGACAAGATCAAAAGAACATGTTCATATAATATTGAAAATATTTTCAAAAAAAAAGAACAATATTTCTGCCTTAAGGAACAAGAGAACGTAATATTTCTTTATTTTTGCTCTTTTTGCTTCAATCCACTTGACTTGAGGAAAAAAATAATACAAAATTAAAGATTTTTAGGTCAACAACAATTTACATGACTTCGAGCAAGAAATCCTTGGCAAAAAGGAAAACGAGCATGTGAAATATTTATTTACAATAAGACTTCTCAAAACATTACATGATCAATAATATTTTTTAAAATAAAACAAGCTTTATCTTAACTCTATTATCGAGCACACTACTACTGTAGGAGGCAGCAGAATGAAAAATGAAAACATGAAAAGAAAGGCACAGAAGAAAGAAAAATCGATGTGAAAATGTCTTTTTGGCTCAAAGTGCCTGTCAAAATGTCACATCGGCGCCGATGAAAATTTTCTTTTTTTTCTCGCTCTTTCTTATTTCATTTATACAAAAGAATCATCGGCACCAATAGCAGTGGTAACATCAACTTCAAACTAAAAGGAAACACTCATCGATTCAACTGGATTTTGAGCTTCTTCTTCCATTTTCATTTTTTTGTTCTTGGTCTTGTATTAGAGATATAAAAAAAAGGAGTGAAGGAGAAATTTTTATCTCCTTTTATTCCGTACTGAAGCTACATAAAAATACATTTCATAATGTTCTGCAAAATGTTTTTTTTTGTCTCTAAGCGAAGATTTAGACAAGTCAAATTGATTTCAGTCTTCCTGAGTAAAAATTCTTTTGTTAAAATATTTCAAACATGTATGCTTTATAAACTTCTTCGTAACATTAGTTGAGACTTTTCAAAGCTTTTGACTGACAGTTAGCTTCTTGGTTTTGACATCTGAATAATCTTTTTTAAATGCAGAACATATTTAAATATGAGTTTGGATTTTTGACCGGAAATTAATCTGCATTGGGAATGTCATGGTCAGGAGAGCATGAATTATATATCATTTCACAATCCCCAATAAAATTGATGCCAAATGAAATCAATAGATTTTTGTAAAGTGATTTGAGTTGTTCAAAGATTCATATACCTGTATTTGGTGTCATGATAATAGGTCAGTGTTGTCTAAACTGTGTGCCGTAGGACATCCTTACGTGTGTTTTAAAATAATTTGATGCTTTTTAACGAAAAATTTATAGGTGTGCCTTGAAAAAATATCTAAGTCAAACTGTGCCGTGGCTAAAAAAGGTTGGACAACACATGACAATAGGTTGATCATCAGAAATTGTTTTTTGAATCTTACACATCGAATATTAAAGTTTAAGTCTAAACTTTATTTACTATTTTTAAATGAATTGAAAGTCAATATTTCGTAAGTTTAGTGTGTTGCAAAATTTTTCGAGACAGAGTGGCTTAGTAGAAGTACTGAGCATATTATAGTTTCAATGAAACGCTTCTTTGTGTTAATTAGATTTTACTTATCCTTCACTCTGATTATTATAATGATTTAATTTTTGACGCTTTCTGCAGACATAAACAGATACAAATGATTTTTGCACTATCTTGCTGAAGGTTTTTATGCATACTTTGTGAATATATTGAAGCAGGAAAGATAAACTAAGTTCAAGGAGTTTTTGTAAGAAAATACGAAAAGTCTTTTTACTTGCTCATGCTCCTTTTCTCCTTAAACAAACATAAATTATGGTATTATCTATGGAGTTAGCTCACATACAAAAAATAATACAAATGTTTCTGCTAAAGAATATTGTACGAAGAGCAGTAAAACTGAAAATCAATATGAACGATGATGCCTAAGTAGAAATTGAACTTTAGTAACATTGATTCATAGGTCAAAAAAATTATGTATCCTAAAACATGGTAAGGATATAAGAGCATCATAAATAGAAGAAAAATGAAAAGGAAGGAAAAGAAATTCAAAACATCAAACATGAAGAGAAGGGGAGCTTTGCTACTTCGTTATAGCTCAAACCGATGAACGCACATTGAAGCAAAAAAAAATCGTTTTGGGTCAAAAAAGCGGAAATAACAAGAAAAGAACTTTTTCATATCCTCTCATTTTTCTTTCTTAGACTATGATTACACGATAACTGGAATTTACAACATTCTATGTTGATGCATGTGTATTGGTTCGATGTATGTGAATATGAATAAGTACTAATCTGATGATGAAAAAAAATAGGAGAAAATTCATTTGGTTGCACATTTCAAAGTCCTTTGATTTATTGTCAACTAAAATGGAAGTAAAGACTTAACATAGAACATTTTTAAAGATTATCTGTATTTAAGGCTAACATAGAATATTTTTAAATATTATCTGTATTTGGCTTCTTCAATTGGGTCAGTGGTTCTCAAACTGCGTGCCGCTGAATTAAGTTTATAAAATTTTCATTCATGTTATACTTATTTATAGATTTTTTTTCTCTCATTTAACCGTACTTGACTTTATTTTAGAATATTCCACATAAACTTTGCACATTGAATTTGTAAAAGCTATAAGAAGCACACATTTTTTATACATTTTAGTCATTATGAAGATAAATAGCTCGTATATTTCTGTAAGACTTTAGAATTTACAAAAAAAGGTAAATATAAGAAGAATCGAGGCTCATGTCTGTAGATTACACAACTTCATCTATCTGCATGCTTATTTATCGTTTATACATGTAAGTATAATAAAATAGGATTTGGCTTTGAATACAATTCGATGTTAAGCAAGAATGAAGAATAAGTTATATAAAAATAAGCTTTATGTACTTACGGTCGATCCGCAAAACGGTGCATTGCCTGCAAATGACAGCAGTCTTCCGCCTCTGGTGGAACCACCTAGTAAAAAGAAGGTGGTGCCGTTGGCTCAAACACAAAATAATTTTTTTCACAATTTTCTCTCTCTTTTTTTCCTGTTTTTGATGGCTCTAAGCGCTCTCTTTTTTCTCCTTCTATCTCTGCGTTCTTTTTGTATGTTACAACTAATTTATTGTTGTTACAATGTTATTATCAATAAAATGTAGTGATTTTTTGCTATTATATTAGTGCTTGCAGACGTATTTATAACTACGTATTAAAATAGTTCAATGAAATCTTTCCCGACTCTTATCTTTCAACTCTCGATTAATTATGTCGAGACACTGAGTCACGAAGATATTCTTTTAATATCACTTTTTCAGAAAATTCGTTAGATTGATTTTTTTGATTTTTTATTATTATTATTAATTATTCAGTATTGTATGTTATTGTGTGTAAAATAAATCAATGTGTAAATGTTAATGCAATAGAAAATTAATTCCAGTTGTTTTTTTCTTAAGTTACACGAGTTTGAAATGAAAAATGAGATTTAAATTTAATTCACAACTGAATTGCGTGTTTTAGCTTTTATTATGTATTATAAAGTCTACACTACACATATTATTTGTTATTATTGTTATTATTTCTTTTTAATGCTGTTTAGATTATAAAAACATTCAATTAAATTTGATTTATATGAATTTTTTTAATTACTATAGGATGCACATTCACTGAATTAACACTTATTTATTAAATATTCGTAGTAAAAATACTTTTATTAATTTTAATTATTGAGTGTATTAAGGAAATTCCAATTTAAGTAGAAATGCTAACCTGCCGTTCCAAATAATTTAAAAATAAGCCTAATTTTGGCTCTCACTTCAATACATAATTTATTATATTCCATTAATTTCCTTGCATTTTTAAATACTTTTCACCACTAATGTTCAATTTCTGCTGCTTCATATATTATTAACTTTTGTAATTATTCATTATTATAATTGTTAATTTGTAAAAAAAACTTCAAATTCTGATTCGAGTTGAATTTAAGCTTGCTAAATTTGTATTACTTCATCCCTTTGATGAACATATGCCTGAAAATGGAATAATTAAATATACAATTTATTAATAAAATGAAATATATTTTGAAATAATAAATTTAATTACAAATCTGATTTATTGAAAAAATGAAGCCTATCTTGAAATTTATTTTATGAGTAATAAAGCTTTGATGTAAAATAATGAAACAGTGATGGAAAGGTTTCGCTTACGCAATAAACATTTTATGATTGTGACCTACCCGAATGGCACAAGTCGGTTAATCGATCAGAAAGCCAGCACTTAGCTGGTGTGACTTTGGCATGGTGCTGGAGTTAAATCGAAGCCCATTTAATCAGGCGCCCAGCCGTGATTTTTATTCGATTAACCGACTTGTGCCATTTGGGTTATTGTTTGCACTCAAATTGAAAATATTTAAATGAAAGCTTTAAGAATTTTTCAAAATTATGACTTAAATATTATTTGAGGTATTGAATGGTGCATTTTAATAAAAATAGATTACATGCTTTAATATTATCGGCAAAATTCATAGTACACGTTCATGACATACACAGATGCATCATCATTATCATTGTCTCAATAATCGCACGTCATTGTAGTCGACAAGAACTGAAAATTCAATTCATTGAATAAGTTGAAAGGAGAAAGAGTAAAAAACAAGAAACTCATGGTAGTAAATGAAATCCATAGTAGCTTCACTTACATACATTATTGAAGAACAAACATTCTTGAAGCATCCATCATTATATCGTCATGATAAGTACGTGAGACTCATAAAATGATCCCCAATAGGAAATGCATGTATGCACATTGAAAGCTCAATAAATATTTATTTCATGCAAATATGATTAGCATCTATTGTATGAAAATTGATTTTCTATGTATGCTTCACATTCAATGCATACTAAGACATCAATTCTCTATCAGAAGTATTTAGCATAAATAGTTGTATGTATGTGACAATAATATTATGCAAAAATGATTAAGGCTTTTTATCTCTTACACTTATCAACTTTTTCTTCATCACCTCCTCCTCTTTCCACTTATAAATTTCATTTAATATTCATAAAGCATAAAATAAATTAAAAGCATTCAGTTTTTTGTTCAGTCATGGTTGAGACTTCTACATAAGCATGCAATATGAGTCAAAAAGAAACCATTTATTCATTAACTGATTTAAACAGATAGAGAACTTGATCCGAAAGCCTTTTTTTTCATAATACCCATCTTACTCTTCTTCCTCGCCTATCGTGCTCACCCCTTTTTAACCCTCATAATTCACTTCACCACAGCAGGTGAGTAAGAGAAGAAATAAAAAGGTTGTTTTTCCCATAATTATTGAAGTTGTTTCCGGCACCAGTTCTTTTTTTCGTAGCAATAAAAGAAAATATTCTTTTTTGTGTATGAGTGCATATGTTTGTATTTTAATATGTAAGGATCCAGCTTCTGTATTCCTGCTTCCTGCTGAATATGGCATAAATTGAACGAGGACATAAATTGTCAGTATACAACGAAAATAAACGTGGAAAGGAATGGAGAAAAATATAATATACATAAAATACATTTTCCTCAAAAAAAAAACCTCTTACGAAGCAAGCATTAAGTTAAGGCAGTGTGAAAATATTGGATGAACCATTTCAACGTTATTTTTTTGTTCACGCTTCTTCTTTATCCTTTCTGGTGTACCAAAATACTATTTTGTATACACACATACAAATATTATAGTATGTCTACCCTTTTGTCTTTCCTCTGCTCTTATACATGCGCTTAAAAGTCAATGTGCTTTGTATTTTTATGGTTTGAATTTTAAAGCTTTTGCGCGAAAAATTTCAAAGTAATGTTAAATAATCATAAAAATATGCCTGTCTATAAAATTAGGGTGAGTTGTGTAAAAAAAATGTCACGAAATATTGATGTGAGAGTATTAAGGAAAATAAGGCAATGAAATATAAAGTACCAAAAATTTTCTCTCTTTTTTTCAAACGGTGTTTTTCATGCTCAATCTTAAAGCAAAATTGCAATCAAGAAACGTATAACACAATGCAGCAATTTATATCAGCACATTGTTTTAAGCAAATCAAGCTCACAGAAAAGTTTTTGCTTTTATGTCATCCCTTGATAGCGATTATTGATTGTCACATGAAAACATTCTCAGCAATTTTTTACCTAATTCGGGTTATCTGCTTTGCTATATAAGATTCTCTAAGGATCTATAACTTTTTCTTCAGAAACTATTTCGTTGTAATTTATAACCAATAAATGAATTTATATGATATTAATTCTTGCATGTCATTTGGGCATCAATACCTTTAAGGGGCGGTTTACTTATGACGTCAAAATAAAAAAACACTAATTTTTTAGACCCCCCTTCCCCCCTCTATCAAAAAAATGTCACTTATGTCAATGCCCCCCACCCCTCTTTGGACGTCCAAAACCAAGTCACAAAAAATTATAATTTCTTGGTTTAAAAATTGGATGTCACAAATTTTTGGACCACCCTTCCTTCCCCTGTCACAATATGTCACAAATTTTTTGAACCCCCTTCCGTCCTGAATGTGAATGGACGTCATAAGTGAAAGGCCCTTCAGCAATTGAGGACTTTTTTTTTAAAAATAAAGGATGAAAAAACTTTTTCATTGGTATTTACTTTTCACCTTGTCATCAATGTAATGAGCACTCGGGACTTTACAGTGCTTAACTACATAAGGATTCATATTTGCAAACAGCATTAAATTATGCAGCTTGTGTTATAGTAATTGCCAGTAAACACATACTTTTGAAATTTGAGCTTCAACGCAAATAAATAGGTTCAAGTAACTGTGTAAAAAAGACTATTATTTTTGGTGAATTCAATTAAAAAATATATGCTTAAAAATTATAAAGGATGCTTTTTATTACATTGAAATTTCATTCATTTATGAAATCCAATTATGACTATTTTAAAATGTCGAGTGCATTGCCATTTTATTGTATTTCAATGAACCTTCAGCATTAATAATTTTATTCAGATTTTTATGACGGGATGCATAATTTTGCAAATTTGTGTCATGTTATTTAATACGCAAGAGTCATTTTGAATGCAATTGCAGTCTATGTGAATATGCAATTACTCGTTATAAATAAATAGGAACAGAAAAAAGTTCCCTCGTTGGAACGAACGTACGATTTAACAAATTTTTAAGGCACCGAAATTGCATATTTGAAAAATAAAATGTTATTCAGTGGCGTAGTAGAAAAAGGAAGAAACGAGGCTTTTACCTTGAGTACCATAAAAAAATCTGAAAATTCAATATAAAGCGGTTCTAATTTTTGATATGCCCGAGAATCATAAACCCTTGCTACGCTCCTTATTGTTATCATATAAATTGTAAGCTATTTTCAATTCTCTTTCATAATTTTTCATTTTTCATAATATTCATATTTGGATTTGGCTTCACATTGAATAAAGAACGAAAAAAAAATATTCTTTATGAAAAAAATTTTGCATGCGTGTGCCAAATAAAATAAATAAAAAATGAATTTTTTTGCATCTTTGATGGGAAAATTATATTATTTTAATTTTTCTGATTCACTGTCCTCTTTTTAACTTCCTGTAACAGTCACAAATATGTCGACAGCATGAAATTTAATAATATATCGTTTTCCACTCATTTGCAGCCATTCTGTTATGAATTTTCATTATTTGCATAAAACACGACTCTACTGGATAGACTTTAATGCAATAACAAAAAAGTTTCCTCAAAAATTTCCTGCAGTTTTATAAATATTTAAAATTGCAATAAAAAATCAGCACATTGAGAAAAATAAAAAATTCCGTTTCTGTATCGAACCTGGTTCCAAAAGTTATTGTTTTTGCTAAAAATAAAATTAAAACTTCAATTTTTACCGAAATGCAAATTGAGCACTTGCAAAATATATATTTAAGTTTAAATTGTGGGAAATAATTATTTGCCAAAATTGCTCAAATTCAAAATTGATTGAAAATCATTCGCCATTTGATTTCGACATTAAAAGCATTCTAGTTGAGTTGAAGCAATTATTTTCTTTCTCTTTTTATAATTTTGTTTGAATTATGTGGAAAATCATAAAATATGAAGCACTCACTCGTCTGCAGTTTAATGTGATGATAAAAAAGGATGAAAGTATTATTATTTTAATGATTTCAAAGTAAACTTTTCTGATACATTCTAGGGATGAGAGGACTTGTGCAATTTAAAATAGAGATTAAATTTTTAATATCAGACACTTTCATCTCTTGCCGTACTAGCTTTTTATATTCCATTAAAAAAAGGCTATGTGATATGTGCAATATAAAGTAAAAATAGACAGACAGTAATTGCTATTTGA